AGGATCCGCCCGGGGGCGTGGAGGGCCTCAGGCTTGATAGCCTGACACCTTCAGGTTCTTGGGGGGGGAGGGGGGCGGGGCTGGAGGGGCAGGAAGTCTCGGATCTGGTCAGAGAGAGGTTTTCAAAAGGGAGAAAGGGGGTCTCAGGATGATATCGATAAATACAGAAGCGAGAAGATGGCATTTGTAGGGAGGAGCTTCTCTGTCATTGGTGTATTGGGGAGTCCACCTTTCTAGAAGGTAATGGAGGCTGCTCTGTTTTCTCGGGACAGGTTTTTTGTTTTTGTTTTTTTCTACTGTAAGGAAACCCGCATTCTTTCCTTTGTTAGGCAGATATAGGTAAAACAGGCTTTCGTTTCTTTTTTTCATTCAGTAATGTTTTATGAGCAAGAAAACAACTGCCCGGAGGGGAGCCAGGAATGCACCGCTGGGAACCTCGGAATGAGGCTTCCTGAGGACTGGGGGGGGTGTTATCTTTGTTTCCTTTAAAAGTGGCCCTTGAGAAATAAGGTGAGGAAAGATGCTGCTTTTTTGTAGTGTCCTCCCTCAGGAGGTAGAGGAGTGAGTCATCGTGGCAATGTGCTAAGCGAAAATGTTTTTCAAGCAGGGGAAGGAAACACAGAAGCCCTCGGGTGCAGTGTTGCTTAGAAACAAGACGAGAATCGCGGGGCTGGTTTAAAATGATACGTGTCTCTGACACAATTTTCAAGCAGGTTTGTTTTGTCTGTCGGGGGTTTTTGTTTGGTTGATTGTTTTTGTTTGGGTTTTTTTGGGGGGATGGGTTTCTTCTGAAACAGGCAAAGGACTTTTATTTTCCCTTTTTATCAGCCTTGTCATGTTGAAATAAATGGCATTAGGTGTTGATTATCTACTATTAAGAAATGGATTTCATTAGTAGCCATGCTGAAATTCAGATTTAGGGTTAAAATCTCTGAGGACTATTTTTAATATTATCATTTTTTTAGTTTATTTAATGTAGCACATTAAGTAAAACAAACTTCTATTGGTGAATAATTAGTATGAGGGGAAGTGATTGAGTGGGCCTGAAGCAGAGGACATCTTTATAGAATGTTTGGATTGGAGCATCTGAAAATCCTGTGTTTTGAAACAGAGGCCTCCCGGGATTTTTTACCCTCGGAAATATTCTGTGAGAAGGGAGCATTTCAGGTTTAGGACCAATGCTCACACTGGAGTGCGTGAGAAGGAGGTAGGACTGCTCTGAGTCTCTTGGAAACTAGAGAAGGAAGGGTTTTTCCCACTGACGTTTGAAAAGTCACTCGAGAAAACACTGTTGTCGAAAGAGAAGGGTTATGAGGCACAAAAATTCTAGATTTTGCAACCAGGGGGGTTTGTGTAGTCGATGGGTGGGAGGGCTGGAGCATCCGACCTTGATGGCCCAAGCTAACCTTAAAGTAAAGACAGCAGGAACTACAACACAAGAGAACGGCAAATTCCTTGTTTCATATGTAAAGTTAAGAGTGATGAGTGACTAATCAATCATTTACTGTAGTTTCTCCTTTGTTTTTAGATTGAGTGGGCCTGAAGCAGAGGACATCTTTATAGAATGTTTGGATTGGAGCATCTGAAAATCCTGTGTTTTGAAACAGAGGCCTCCCGGGATTTTTTACCCTCGGAAATATTCTGTGAGAAGGGAGCATTTCAGGTTTAGGACCAATGCTCACACTGGAGTGCGTGAGAAGGAGGTAGGACTGCTCTGAGTCTCTTGGAAACTAGAGAAGGAAGGGTTTTTCCCACTGACGTTTGAAAAGTCACTCGAGAAAACACTGTTGTCGAAAGAGAAGGGTTATGAGGCACAAAAATTCTAGATTTTGCAACCAGGGGGGTTTGTGTAGTCGATGGGTGGGAGGGCTGGAGCATCCGACCTTGATGGCCCAAGCTAACCTTAAAGTAAAGACAGCAGGAACTACAACACAAGAGAACGGCAAATTCCTTGTTTCATATGTAAAGTTAAGAGTGATGAGTGACTAATCAATCATTTACTGTAGTTTCTCCTTTGTTTTTATTTTGTGCATAAGACCTGGCTTATTTCTCAATGGGCTTGCTAACTTTTCGAATTATCCCCTGGCATTATTTTCTGTGCAGAACTGGAATAAAACAAACATCTGGATTCCGTGTGTCGTTTTTGCACGTTGGGTAAAGAACCCAAATGTAGGATGACAACAACTTAAGTATGCTACTATTTTTATTTTCAAATGAGATATGAAGACATTGAAATCCAATCTAAAGTACTTCTTCGGTTACTTCCCTCACTAGACAGTAGTTATACTTACTAATGGTAAATCAGAACATTTACCACTTTATTCTCTGCTTTTCTAGCCATGTTTTCCCCTTGAGATGGTGCATGTAAAGAGCTGCTTCATTTCATAGCAGTTTAATGTTCTGTTCTCTATGCTCAACAGTATTTTCATTATGGTTTTGTTTTTTTTTTTTAGTAAGTGTTCATTAATACAGGCAAACTGGTGCAGTCTGTATACAAAATCCTCTTTTTCTTCAGCTAAAATATAACTGGAATGTTTTCCTACAATTACTGCATATCCTTGTTTCTCCTGACCAGCCATTCAGACTTAACAGAAAAGCAATATATTCTTCTGCCTAATGTAACTATGCTTGTTATAAATAAACATGTTCTGCCTGTATACCATAGGTAAATAAATATTCTGTAGATTCTAAAATAGAAAAGTGAAGTGGATCATAACACCTATTTACTTGCATGGCAGATTAGACTTTTACAAAGTTCTCTTTAAAAACCTGTTGTATTTCGTTTCAGATGTAGAATTTCAAACTAATCCATATCCTTTTCCAAATTTCTCTCCAACAGACAGCCTAAATTATCTAACAGATTTGTAAGTGGAGGAGAAAGGCTTTAGATTTAAGAAAAAATGCATTACAGATGCTGGTGATAATGAAAAAAGTGTCATGGGTGACAAGATACTTTGAAGTTCACACTTATGCTTAAAATACTATCTATGGCACAGGAAGTACAATCTCTCAGGCCTCAACAAATTATTATTCAACCAGTAGCTGCTTCATAATTCTCTATTTAATGCTTTTAATGTTGTCTTGCATATTAGCTTATCAGGCTCTATGGAAAAACAAAGGCACAAACTGTCTTCCACAGCCTTAGAGGAAGGTATGAATTATTTCTGGTTTTTTATTACACACACCCTCCCCCCTTTTCAGAGGAAAAAATAGCTGGAGCATTTGCCTACAAAAGTGAATGGAATTATTTGTCTGCTGCTTGAGGGTATATCCATGAAAATGTGGTCTGTTCATTGTAAAACATATTTGAACAATTACATGATACAGTCTACAAAAAGGTTAAACATTTGCAGGTCTATTCATAAGTTTTTCTCAAACTCCTTCACTTAAATATTTAGTTCCCTTAGTAACTGAACAATTTTACATAGCAAACCAACTTATGCTCAAATAGGAATACCCTACAAATCTGTTGTAATGTTTAGAAATCTTTTGAATAATATAATCAGTAATTTACTTGTTTATATTCCCTTGGAAGCAGACCTGCTTAGACACCGAATTACTTAAAAGAAAAAAGGTAATTGTTCATGTGTTTCAAGTATACAGAATAGGAGCAATTTCAACATTGTTAAACATGAGAGAAACTCACATGTTTCTATTCGCACACTTTCAGAAGCCCTACCGTGTACACTGAGGAAATGTGAAAGACAGGAGTGAAGCCTAAAAGCCAATTGCACGACACCTGTAGAAGCGCAGCAGAAACCTGCATTTGCAGGTAACAGTAAATGCTCAGACTGTATCTAATAACAGCAAAATAGCAGGTTGCCCACACACCGCAACTAATTCCTGGGAAATCTTTGCACCTCCACAGATTCTCCCTAATATTACCGTGGCACGGCTGAGCAACACGGGGATTGATGGGAGTGAAGGATTTCCCCCCAGCACCATCGGGCCGAGGTTGGGGAGGGACCGAGAAGGAGGAGAAGGAGAAGGGGGGGCAACCTCGGGCACCGCCCGCGCGGCGCCGCTGCAGCA